AAAAAAAAAACACGACGATTCCAATGCTGCGGGGACGGTTGGAGAGTGCACAAGACTGAGGGTCATTCCTTTTATTTATCACCGTGAATAGTTATTTTAACTTTAACCGATGCATTATTTTTTTGGTGGACAGTGGGCTGACCATCCTGATTTTCACTTCGCCTCCTGAAGGATTGCCAGCGCAACGGTTTCTTTGACAGAAACACTTGGCAGGTATTTAGCAGTTTCAAATATCCCTGTTGTTGTGATGACCATCATTAGAGATTTTCACGATTAGAGATTAAAGTTTAGAGACACTAGTGATCCCCTAATAATTAGAGGATCTCTGGTTAGGTAGAGATTTCTTCATGTTAATTTTTCACCACATTCGTCACCATTCCTTGCAGGGTGTTACGTTTGCCGAATACGAATCTTTTTCTCTCTTCCTGAACAATTTGAAGGAATTCACGGCAGCAGTGCGCCTCTATACGTTGGCTAATATCCCGGTATCGCAGATGGAATTTCGACGAGTGGTCCGCGCTTCAACGGGACACAATCTGAATGAGAATCTCGTGAAGCTGCTCTTCCGCATTTTCGATACGAACAACGACGATCGCCTTTCGTATACCGAATTCATTGGTGTGATGAATGATCGCGTACGGCGCGGTTTCAAGGTATCTTTGTTTGGTTTCGTTCTGGAAAATCCAACTAGTAGAGAGAGGAACCTGAAATGGAAACTAATTTTCGCGGAGTGATTGGGACAACTGCTAATTTATCTGTATTTTTGCGTTTCTGAAGTCGAAAAGTTTTTATTTTGATCTATCCAGTGCTGCGTAGGCTCGTGATTAGCCTTCTGGTAGTCTAAGCTTCTCCTTTGGATCATGTTGAAGTACCTTACGGGTCTGAAATTTATGTCCGTATGGAGAGTGTACAAATTCGGCAGTTTTTAGTGAAAGAGTTTTATTTGGTTAGGAAGAACATTTATGAATTTGGGTTCTGGACCCGTCTGATTGGAAGGTTGCTATGAGTTTAATGATCAGTTTTTTTAAGGCATCCTCGGGAGCAGGAAGTTTCGGTTGGCAACCATTTAAACGATGCATCCAGGCCGAACTTGCCAGCTTTTGATACGTTGAAAACTGATCGATTGTTAAGCATGATATGTGGTGCTTTCCCGGTTAACAATGTGTGTTTTTCCAAAATGCTTTAAGCGTATTTTTAAACTAATCGCCTTGGGATTGGTAGTGTCGGACGAACTAATGAAACGCTTTTAACTGACTTCTGATTTCGTTCTTTCCAGAGATATCAAATGTACATGAGTTAGGATCTGAAGTCGCCAGGTCAGGAGAAAAAGGAAACTAAAATCTAAGTTCATTTTTCGTGATCCTTTTGATAATGGCCGACCAGAAAAGAGTAATAACAGACGAGTTATTTCGATGTGGATTGATATCGATGATCATATCCGGTTCGATTTTTAGGAAACTCCTCTGTTTTATCGGTTTAAGGATGTCAGTGGCTGGATTTCCTATAAAGTCTCCGATTTGCAGCTTGAGAATCTGAGAAAGGATGCTTTTTTTTGCTTTGAAATCTCATCTGCGCTGGAAAATCTTCGGGAACGTTTTTACTGGAATTGTATTGGTGAGATTCCTAGTTGAATTTTTTTTTCCAGCGAGCAAATCCGTCTCATGTTTTTGAAGGAATTTCAACATTTACTGTTGGCAGACACAGCATCGCTCTTACAGTTAGTTTGTAAAATTTTTGAAGTATCGGAATGAGTAACATTATTGCTTACAAATAATAAATGCAATAAAATGGGGGTTGGAAGAGAAAAGAGGAATAGAATAGTGGAATATGTTCATTTAATATTGTGAAAAGAAGCCAAATTTTATAATCTCGTTTAAGCTAACTGGTACTTGCATTGGGTGGCGTCTGTGTTTCATTCCTGAACTGCAAATACAGACGACTAAATTGGTGCGAAATGGGGTGTGAATCATCAGTACAGTGTCCCATTTCGCTATTTTAAACTCCTGCCGCTGTATATTTCTTAGATCTGTTTTATATTTCTTAGATCTGTTTATGTTCTTATTTTCTGCTGTAGAGGGAGACAGATGTTCCCATTCCTTGGTTTATTACTGTAATCATATGATTTGCACGAAAAGTTTTTTTTTTTTTTAAACTAAAGAAGAGATTTATTCCTTTTATTTTGCATTGCTGCTTTCGGCGCAGTGAATAGTTTTTAGACACCGTACGTCTTAATCAGCCCCTCCCCTCTCCGTCCCCTTTTCAGCCGCCGAGACAATACTTTTTCAAACCTCTGTCCTGTAAATGAACATTATCACGATGGAGTAGCTACGTTTACTTTGCACTTTGAAGGCGATAAAGCGGTCGGTGCTAGCTAGTAGCAAGGAGACGCACGTGTTAGGGTCATAATTTTGCATATGTATATATTGTACTGTATTTTATTTGTATATTTTTCAACTTGTTGGTTTAATAACCCAAATTTGAGAGATCTGTAGAAAAGGCGTTGATATAGCAGTATGTGCAATCCCTGTATTTTCTGTTGTTAGAAAACTTTACTGCTGCTATTTAAGTATTTTGCTTAATTTGTGTATATAATTTTTTCTTTTGTCCGCTAATTTAAAAAAGCGTTGCTGTGTAATATTAATATGTTGCTGCTGTCGGTCCATTTTGGTCGTTTTGTTGCAAGAGTAAAAGTGTTTTTGAAAAGCGATACATTCATTTTTCTCTTGTACTTTTCATTCGAAATATCTAGTTAAAAGTCAAAACTTTGTTCTGTATTCATAAGGCACTCGGAACTAGCCTGGTGGAAGTAAGTACCAGTTTCAAGCAATTTTAACGAAGATCTTGATTTCTTCCTCTTTGGATGGTTGTTTGGGATTAAGTTGATTAACTCCTTGATATGCGCCAGTACCAATTTATCATCGAAATGAATGAAAGAATTGTA